AAGGTTTTGTTAGCAGAGAGAAGCTAGACTAGGCATTGAGCTAAAGGAATATGATAGAAAGAGCAGATCAAATGACTAGGCTCCATTACCAGGGAAAAGAAGGACTAAAGTAAGGAACCAGTTATAGGATAAATATGAGAGGGTGGTATAGGAACATAAATTTTTCAAAATTATTAAGATCACCTAGCACATCCTGTCTGGGTGGGATCAAGTCCTTAAAAGGACAAAACAGGCTGAAATCAAGCATTTTCTATTTGTTGTCTCATGGCAGCCAAATGCTCCTCCCTATTTTACAGCCTCAATTTTAAGGCTGAGAGATATTAAGTCATTTGCACCAAAAACTTATATTTAGCAGTGGACTAGCCAGGATTTAAGCCCAAATCTGTGTGTTCCAAAAGCCCAGGCTCTTTTCACTTTATAATAATGACTCTTGAATTCAGAAATTTTAAAATCCGAAGTTATTAAGTCTTGTATTTATTTCCAATCTAAGCATTAAGTAGAAGAAAGAGACCACTCCTGAGATTCTTATTAAATTTTAAAGGAAACAAAGAATATATGAGCATCATTTTGGTGGGGAAAGAAATAAAATTAGGGAGATCAACAAGTACAGCCCTTTTAATTCCCCTTCCCTCCACATATATGCGATCTAATCATATTTTAAGACATTTTGTGATTATTCAACTAATGCTGATGTGGGAGAGACTGCTGGCTGCCCTCCAGATTGGTGCTCTTTTTCTTGGTGTAGAGTTGTTGCTGGGATGAGGCTGCCCAACCAGGGACTACTGGTTCCAGCTCCTCTTTTATCTAAATAGAGCCATGTGACTAGTTAATTCCAGGCCAGGGTCATTAAGAATCAGGTGTGCCTTCTTCACTATTTGTTTTTCCCTCTCTCCCGATTAGACATTTGGACCCTTATAAGCCACTTTGTTGAAGACAACAGAGCTTCAGTCAACTTGGCTCTCCCCAAATGTGAAGATCAGTATTAGACTATTACTTGAGTAAAAAATAAAGTTTTATTTGGCATTAAACCATTAATAGGGGGCTTATTACAGCAGCTGGCATTTCCTGAACTAACGCAGTTGAATTAAATTCTCCAGGCTCTTTAATGCTCTTGCTTCTCTTTCTTATTTCACTTTCAATGTTTTCTTTTAGAATTTGCTCTATTATTTGAACTTTAATCATGAACTTGAGATTCTTCAGGCCATAGCTCACTGTTCCGTGGCAGAGTTAGTCACTAGTTACTCACTGAGCAAGTATTTAATAAACTTCATAACTTGTGCTATATGGAAGTGCCATATGGGAATATGAGTAAAAATTTTTAGATGTTCTTTTAGAAGTGACTAACACAATGATGTTAACTACAAGTAAATTGGGGCGACATTGTTCATAATAATAAAAGAAACAAAAATATATAAATGTTCAAGAATAGAAAAATGGATAAGTTTTATAGTATATTTGTGTAATAAAGCACTAAGAGTTATATTAAGGAGGACTGAGTTTGAACTTTATTTAGTAGGGAATCGGAGAGCATTGAAACTTTTTGAGAAGACAACTGAAATGATCAACTTGTACTTTAGCAAGAATAATCAGCCAGTACTATGTAAGGTCAATTGAATTAGTAAGAGAATTGTGGATAAGATGACCAGTTTTCCTCAATATTTGTTATATCCTTCCTTTATTAGCAAGAGAACTCCAGGGTATTAGCTGATCAAATAGCAACACAGCTAAAGTCAATATTTCCCAGACTCCCTTGAGATAGGTGTGAGTATGCAACTAAGTTCTGGCCAGGGTAGGGTTTGCTTTAACAAGAGATAAGACTGGAGTGTCACATCTACCTTTCTCAAGTACCTCCAATTCAGACATCTTGGACAGACAATGAGAGCCAGCACATTGGCAAAGTGAGCTGTCTTTATATCCAAGCCTCTTGTTTGAATGACCATAATAAGTTGATAAAGAGGAAAGAATAAGCAGGAAACAGAGGCCAATAATGACCAGAGTTTTCAAGCACAAAATTTGTGCTTGAGCTACAGCTAGGCCGTACAGTCTTGATACTGCCATGCCTTTTCTCTTTCTGGATGATCTTGATATTCCCTCAGTCAGTTACAATGCCCTGCAGGCATTTTTTCCATGGACAGGATCCCTTTCTAAATGAACAGACAGCCAGCTCCCATTGAAGTTTGTTAGAAATTAAGAGCCTCAATGTTGGGAAGTTTGAGTCCTCACAAAGAAATCTTCTCACAAATTATCTATTGCTCTCCACTCTATCTGCTCTTTTATATCCTCATGTGAATGAGGGAGTTCAAAAGTTCCATCAATATTTACAGATATGATCAGTCCATCTCTCAACTAACAATGAGATATAGCATCTATTATCTTGCCTTAGCTGAAACTGAGACAAGTTCCATTGTGACCCATAACTCCACAAATAACAGAAAGCCACAAACTAGAGAAAGCAAACAAATTAAAAAATCAGAACATTTTCTTGAAAGGATATGAGAATAAAAAGGGTGTCT